ATCGACGTTTTCTAAAGTAATGAAGTCTCTTGTTAGACCAAAAATGATGATTTATCCATGTGATATACGGAAAACAACTGGGATGTATTAGAGTCTGAAGTAGTACCTCCAATTATTCAATGGAACTCTAACAGACGGGCTGAAAAGTTCGTAGGCTAGCACAGAAAAAATACAACGAGTAATTATACAACATGCGACTGAAGTGAAATTTCTTCAAACACACAAACATACCGGGATAGGGGTTAGGGAGTTGGTTTAATGGTAATATTTGTACACTATGCTTCGCACGGGTGCAATGCTGATAGTAAATATACTATGGAATGTCTTTATATACAACAATCACAGCTTTTTTATCATTAGACAATACAAACCGGCCGGTACCGCCGCAACCGCTATGTCCCTTATTAACTTAAATTACATGCTGTAAAGGGACATATTGATCTATATTAAATGCACAATGTATTTAAGAGTACTTAATTGGATAAGGATTCATGCTGTATTGCTTAAAATCACTTCGTAAATAAGCCATTATTTCTCGTAAAAAGTAAAGGATAAAAATGGTTATTGTGGGTTATCCCTAAGAGATAGACATACAGGGTTTGTCCGGAAAGTAATAGGACTGAGTCGATTAAAAAAAATTTATTGAGCCAATCGTTACAATTCTTTAAAAACTTTCAAAATATGCTCCTTCTGCGTCGATGCAGCGCTGCCAGCGCGATTTGCAAGCATTGAAGTCGTCACGGAAGGCATTCTCCGGAATAGCCTTAAGAGCCGCGGTGCATGCTGCTTGGATCCCCTCTGTTGTCTCAAAAGGCTCGTCTTTCATCGGCCTTTTCAGGTGAGCAAACGAAACGAAAGTCCGAGGGGGCCACATCTGGGCTGTAGGGCGGCTGCGGAAGCGTTGCGATGCTGGCGTTGGTCAGGTAGCTGTTCACAAGAATGGCGGTGTGAGCAGGGGCGTTGTCGTGGTGCAACTTCCAGTCGGCTGCGATGTCTTGACGGATCCGATTAACCCTTCGTTTGAGTCTCTTGAGCACTTCCACGTAAAACTTAGCGTTGACGGTTTGTCCAGGAGGAACAAATTCATGGTGGACGATGCCTTTCATGTCAAAAAAGACAATGAGCATCGTTTTCACTTTGGATTTGTTCATTCTTCCCTTTTTTGGGCGAGGAGACGCCGGCGTGTGCCAGTCGGAAGATTGCCTCTTTGTCTCGAGATCATACTCAAAGATCCATGACTAGTCACCTGTGATTACGTTTTTCAAAACTTGGGGGTCACTTTCACCCATGTTTAAATTTTCTTGTCACACTTCACTCGCCGCAATTTCTGGTCGCCAGTGAGCACTGTTGGGACCATCTTCGCGCACACCTTGCATATGTTCAAATGCTCCGTCACGGTTTACAGTTTGCCCCACAGTAAAATGAGAATGTAGGTACGAACCCACGGACCCAATCTATATAAAATTTAGCTGTAGCAATATCTACTGTTATAGTTATTGCTAAATCTCATGGGCCTTCACGTACGCGAAACGCGGACTGTATTGGAATTGTATTGTACATTGATGGTCATGTGCCTCTTTTATAATGAATTCACCTTATATATGCGAAAAGCCAAACCAAATTAATAATAACAACAAATTATTTATCGAAATTACCTACTGTTCTCTTGTTTAGTACGTAAAATGGAGAATTAATTTAAGGTTATATAATTTAACTTTAATTTTTCCAAATATCAAAAATTCGTTACACAAATAGGTGCATTCTTTGGTCGTTTCTTATGTTTCATTTGTTGCAAAAGTTAGGTAATAATTCATATACATACATCGTTTATCCATTGCCAATCTTTTCATGTTTCTTGTATTCTTAAGTGTGCGGCTCTTAGAGAACAAGTCCCGTGGGTAATGCATGTTTTTGATGAAAGCTGCGACATTTTAAGAGACTTTTTCCAACCTAAGGCATTCTCCTTGGAGATTTTTAAGATACAGAAAAGTTTGCTACATACAGTTTCCCTGTGAGCCTTCAATGAATGAGCTTTCTGGGCGATCGAATCTAAAAAGTTTCTATTAACGTCAAGAAGTCCTAGAATACGCAAGGTCTTCAGAATTCAGTTCAAGGCTTTACAAAAGTTCCAGGAAATTAATAATCGAAGACTGATTGATTAGGTCGCAAAAATTTGTAAACGGCGCTCGTTGTATCTGTGGCAATTAAATCCATGCATATCAATCAAACTTAATAGAAATTTATTGTAATTTTCAGTGGTGTTCGCAATCAAACACAAGTTACGAAGCAGTTAGTAGTTCAATAAAGGACTTACAAAATATGGATCTGATAATCAAGAATTAATTAATTCGTTCTGGATTGTTTTTTAATGTAAGTTTTAATTTTTCTCTGTTAATCGACAGAGCAATCTTACAAATTCCATCTTCATGTGTACGCACTGGGCAGGTTTTTGTGACGATAACAGCTATAGTTCGTACGATCAAAATTGGCAAAAATTACAATAAATTATCTGCGAGAATGGACGTATATTCTTTCTAATTTCCACTTGGGACTGTAGTCATTTGCTGCCTTTTTGAACACGCCCTTGTTAAGTTAGGAAATGCTTCATGAGTAGTACAGACAAAGTGAAAAGAGATAACCGAATAATAGTAAGCTGTGCAGCGGTTAGAGGCTGCTTAAGTAGGCAAAAGATTAGGGTCGGCTTTATAACTGCCTGCTTGGAATTATATCTTTAAAGAAACGACTTTAAATTCCTGAGAATGTTGAAAGTCCGATGCGGGTAACATGCTCAAATTCTGCTTTTCTGCATCTCTTTCTGTTAAACATCAATTGGTGTATCGTTATTCCTTTTTCTTTATTAGCGTTCGCTGCAATTCTTACCTGACATCTCTTTTCTGTGGTCGTCTAAATAGTAAGATGAAAGAAGGAAGTACATGCGACAGTTTTATTGTGTACTACGCCAATTTTGAACGTTTCAACGATATTATGATAATTTACAAATTTCAATTAATACTTACTCTAAATATATTTAATTTTGATTTTTTGATATTTAATTCGTAAAATTATTCGTATGAGTGAAGCCTTTTGTTTCTATTATTAAAAAAAAAACACACAAACAGCAACTCACATAAAGTGCTTATATTTTTATAAATAAATTAAGCATTATTATTATAATTTCAGAAATATCTTCGTGTTTTCTGGCTTTCCATAATAAGGGTAAATAAACATGCATTTTCTAGATGTTTCCAATTCTCAAAATAAAAATCGTCACATGCGTATATTTGTTTGAAAAGCCATTGTAAAGCAAAACATGCGTTGGAACTAATGAAATTCCGATTGAATTTTCTAAATAATGGGATGCACATCTCCAAATGTTGTCATACAATTTTAATGAGCACGATTTGCGCGTTGATTTGAATATATCGATCTAATATACATGTATTAATAAACAGAAATGTTGCAAATAGAGCGCTGTTTACAAAGCAAGAGTTTGCCGAGAGTATCGGCAAATTCAATTTAATGAATTCGCACTAGTGCACTTTAAAAACTAAAGAACCTATTTGGTTTGTGTAAAGTGGAAATTGCTTACTTCCCTTCGCTCCGTAATCTTTTACTTAGAGTTAGCGCTTGAGGAACTTCAAAAATTTCCTTTCAAGTAATTTCAATTGCAATCGATAGAAGTTACCTAGGAAATAAATCTAACATGGCAAAAAGGCAATTAACCGCGCGGTTAGAAAAACAAAAAGAGTTTTTAATAAACTGAAAGGTGTTTTAATTAGAAAATACGAAGGTAAAGGGTTGTTCGGAAAGTCATTTCGTTTTTCTTTGTGGAAATGAAAGACAGTTTTCGTATAATAAACAAATACTTTATTAAATTATATATTGACCGTTCTGGTCCAACACCTTTTGCNTTCCAAACGCGCTACCTGCTACCCCCATGGGTAGAGTACCATAAAACTATAAATCGTTGTTCGAGCATTCGCTGTCTTTATTCATAACATTTTAAGTAATATCTTATTTTCTATTAGTACCTAACTTGACTTTATTAATTAATTCTACACGCTCCCGATACCACATATAGGTCTACATCCACCCCTCCTAACTCCCACTTCTACCTCTAATATGTCTCTGACTAGACCTTGAGAAGGTGTCCTACTAACCTATCTCGCCTATTTTTTATTGACTTCCATAAGGTCCTCTGTTCTCTTACTCTTTCTAATACCTCTTCATTTCTATCCACGGTATCCTCATCATTCGCCTGTAACACCACATTTCGAACAAAACACCATCGAAACTAAATCTTGCTTAACTTTACTTTTCTTAATGTGACTTAATTAATTAATGTCATATTGAAGGCGTAGTTTCTCTAAGGTTAATGATCCAATTTCAAAAAATAAGAAATTGTTAAACAAGGAATTAAATGACCATTATGGTCGTAGTTTGACCTGACCTTGCATTTAAAAATTCAAGGATGATGTTGCTCTTCGCTTTGGGGTTGAAATAACATGAATCATCATCATCATAAGGTCATCAATCCAAGACTGGTTGGAAACGCATGAACACAAAAATTGAATTTAGATGTCCCCTTTACAAGCAAAGTTGATGTGTCTGAGCCTTCTGCACAAAAATTATGCTAAATGATACCAAATTGCACTTATTGTTTTCAATGTTCCACCCTGTATATATTTACCCTTATTTGAAATCGGAATATTACCTCGTACCATCAAACTGACAAACTTTACCCCTTTATAATACGTATCAATGCAGATGGGAATTAAGCAGAATTGTTGAACATGTTTAGTTCGGAAATTGTTCTATTTATTTTAGTCTTTATAGGGTCCCTCCGGAGTTCCTTATCCTCAACCCAACATATTAACCGCACTGACTATCAAACTTTCACATAGTAACATTATTAATCCGGACATGAATAACTTATTATCAGTCAAAACCGTAACCGCATAGTTCTGATGAATTAAAAAGAATTTCTGAAATTGTTCCAGGATCACAAGCTGAAACACATGGCCGAATTACAACAGTCTGTAGTGGGGGATGTTGAAGCTCGGCAGCAACTGGCTAATCAAGTGGTGCAATGGGAGGAAAATTTGGAACGACTACACTGCGAACAATTTCGGTTGCGATGTTACATGGCCAGTCTGCAAAGCGGAGAACTGCCTAACCCCAAAGTAAGTGACTTTATATTGTTTAGCAGCATCAATTTCGGGCAGAGTTTGTACATTCATTATACGCCAACAACTTGAACCCAACAATTAACTTACATTACATTCGGTTACATGTCTGACTCCACCATTCTTGTAACATGAATGTTTTAGTATTGAAAATACTTCTTTTTTTTTGACGTGACAACGTCTTATAATTCGATGCACGCACGAAAAAACATGACTCATGCGGCGTTACCTCGCTCTGAGGCGTTCCATTTAAGGTTTGAAGTGTAAGCGAGAGCGCGGAACGAGCGACAAAGAGGCACAATCGGCCTCCGCGTTCGGCAGCGTTCGACATCTGTCTCTCTCCTACTTGAGTGAGCGATGCGTCCGCGTGGACAGCT